GCCTTGATTCCTGCTCCCAGCTCTATTGCTCTGCCCATCTGTGTCAGATGGGCTCAGAGAGATAAATTTAGGCCTCCCACTGGTCCAGTGTCAAAGCTCCACCAGCATTGCCCTGATCTTGGCTGAATCTTGGAGTGATCATGGCTTGTTCTCTCTCTCTGCAGCAGTCACTGCCCAGGTGGTCTTGGAGCAACAGCCCAGGGAGTTGTCCGTGCCAGAGGAACATGAAGTCACATTCCAGTGCAGCATGAGTGGAGGCAGCATGAGCTCGTATCTCATGTACTGGTACCGTCAGGGCCCACGTGGCACTCTGGACTGGATTTACAGGGAGGGTGATTTCTATGGAGAAGGTTTCCAAGGTCGCTTTCATGGATCAGTATCCAGTAACAGATTCACACTGCAGATCCTGGCAGCAAAGCAAGGAGAGGCAGCAACATATTACTGTGCAGCTAGAACCACCCTGGAGCAGCTCTGCAGCAGAGTGGGCCAAAATCTGACTGCTGGGGAAGACAGATCTCTCAGCATTTCTCTCTAGCAGCTGCGCTCCAGGGGCTGTTGTCACACACTTACAGGTGCTGGAAACAGACCTCTGGCATGCTGACAGTAACAGGCAGAGGGAAGTGTGGGTGCGGGGCTGGTACCATTTATGATGCAAGAGGATCTCTTCTGGGAGCTTCAGGGGCTGTTTGGGGAGGTGTGGGTTAGTGCACATTGCCTGGGCTCCTGTCCTGTCCTGTCCACCCTCTTATACTGAGCCACTCGTTCACAGCGTTTTCTGCTACCATTTGATAGGTGCCCAATTTACCAATGGGCAAATGTTTAGCCAATAATGGTTCTCTCTGTTGTTGCTGGTTTTGATATGCTGTCGGCAAAATCCAACCCCATTGTTCTAATTTTATGTTTTCCTTCCCCCTTTCTGTAGGCATCTTCTGTACACATTTAAGCACATTTAGAGGTTCAGCATGTGTCACATGAGCCTCCACTGTTCACAGGGCTCCCCCACCTCAGCCCACTCTAGTGCCAAGAAGCTGTAGGGGGATTTTTCCCATCCTGAGACTTCATGGCCTTCAGTTTTCTCTTTAAATTAAAAGTTAAAGAAGGGCCTTTTGTTCTGATCCTGTCCATGACACCAGATTGTTTTGCTGGCTGGACAGGGACAGTACAAAGTACATAAACAATGAATTAAAGGAAGATCAGCTAATGTTTATGCATCTGTCAAAGCAGCATAAGCAAGGTGATACACTTTAATGATATAAAGCACTTAGTCACTGGTTTAGGGCAGCAAAAGAGTAAGCAAGGGAATGCACTCAGCCCTGCAGTTCCTGCACAGTGAGGGTTGGGAGAGTCCCTCCCAGCATTGGGAATCCTACGCAGTGTGTTCACTCGTGGGTGAGATGTCCAACAACTATCATTGGGGTCCAGCTTTATACACTTTAACTAACAAAGTTAAATCTGTATATGACAATGTGTGCAGTTCCTGGTTTCCTTTCCTTGTGAGGGTCAAACAGTGGCCCTGGCCAGGGTCCATGTGGTACAGGCCAGGTGGTACAAGCCTATCAGCCTTTACTCTTTGTCCTGACCAGGTGATCTGTAGTAGCCACCCACCAGTGTCAGATATGCTGGTGTGCACCCAAGGTGCTGACCCATGTGCTCTCAGCTGGCCCAAACAAATTCCAGCTGCTCTGTCACAGAAAGGGCAATCCCCACTCCTTGCCTTCCCAGCCTGTCTTTCCTGACCAGCCTGGCTTCAGCCACTACAACACTCCTGAGAGCTATCTCAGCACAACTCCATGATCCCACAGCTCTGCAACCAGCCCCAGTGGTAAAACTGACAGGCAGAGAGAGCTGGGGGTGTTCGGCCTGGAGAAGAGAAGGCTCCAGGTTGACCTGAGAGGCCTTCCAGTGCCTCAAGGGGCTCCATGAGAGCTGGAGAGGGGCTGTGGGCAAGGGCTTGGAGTGACAGGACAAGGGACAATGGACAATGGCTTCAAACTGAAAGAGAGGAGGTTTAGATTAGAAGTCAGGAAGAAATTCTCCCTTGTGAGGGTGCTGAGGCACTGGCACAGGTTGCCCAGAGAAGCTGTGGCTGCTCCATCCCTGGGAGTGTTCCAGGCCAGGTTACGTAGGACTTGGAGCAGCCTGGGCTAGTGGAAAGTGTCCCATGGCAGGGAGTTGGAACTAGATAACCTTTAGGGTCCCTTCCAGCCCAAACCATTCTGTGATTCTGTACTGGGGAAAAGCTCAGGCAATGTGCACTGACCTGCACTGCACCAGGAATTTCAGTTCCTGGGTCATGTGAGTGGTCCCACCACATCTTTCTGTTGTCAGTGAGATTATAGCCCTGCAAATGCTGTTGAAGCTCTAATTTCTCCTGTTTTTCCCCACACTGACTGCATTCTGCACAGGCATCCAGCCATGCTGTTTCTGGAAGCCCAAAGGGTTGTCTTTTTCCCCACAGATACACAGATAATCCTTATTTGTGTGGACACTCCTGCAGTGCACCTTTCAGTCCCTCTTTTTCCTATGATTATGATGTCTATCCTGTTCACAGCATTCCTTACCTATTCTGTACCAACATTTCCCACCATTTCCTCACTGTATTATTTATCATCTTCTTCCTCCTTTGTTGTTACTAGTTTAAAACTCTTTATCAGCTTGGCCAGCCTGTTGGCAAAGATGTTTTTGTCTCCTTGAGTCAGGTGCGTCCCATCTCTTCCAAACAGTCCTCAAAAAGGGTCGCATGGTCATAGCAGCCAAGTCCCATTTGTCAGAGCCAGCTGACAACTGCTGACCTTCTCACCAGCAGGATCGAAGAGAAACCCATCTGGGCCCACATGGCCTTGAGCATCACCCCCTGTGTGAGTCAGCACAGGCAGCCAGAACAACCACAAACCTGTGGCTTGAACACAGAGAGTAAATTGATGTCTGTTCCCTTGATTCAGCCTTTCTGATATCATTTCAGACCTTTCCTCGGAAGCCATTCTGTGTTTCCTCATGTTGTTTGTTAAGTCTTAAACCCTGTGAGAAGTCATGTGACTGTCTGAGTCATCCAAACTTCTGTGCAGCGGAAAAGAGACAGTTTTTGCAAGGCAATACATCACTGTGTTTGGGCTGGAGTACCACAGTGATACAAACACCATAGAGCCCTGTACAAGAACCCAGAGGAGGAAAAAGGCAATATATTCTGGGAAAGAAAGGAGATAGGTGACTGCAATGGTTAAAGGGACAAATCCTTGTCTTTCTGTTTATCCTGGGAATATAGAGCTCACAAGGTTCTAAAAGATGGAAGAAAGGGAGAACTTCAAAATTCTGTGCTCCTCAAGGTATTTGAACTACTCAATTACTGTTTTTCCCTTTCCAGTTTTGGAAGCAAATGTGGCTCTGGATACCCTCATGGCATTGCACTCATGGACAATTAAGACAAATGTTTGGCTTTTCATCTCCTGTTTTTACAATACTTTTGAATGCCATGAGGAAGGAAAGATTTATTGGCATCAGCATTAGCAGTGTGAGGACAGATAAGCTGATATTTGGCCCTGGGACCACTCTCACAGTTGTGCCAAGTAAGTGCCATTTTTTTATTTCTATAACTTGTGTTAAATTGAAGGTGGGGGAGGGCAAAGGGATCTGATGGTTTGGGTTCACTGTAAGAATTCCCCTCCAATAACCCCCTGGGTGCCCACTCTCCAGCCAGGCTTCCCTGCCAAGTCCTCAGCTTCTGTGTGCTTAGGAAGGTTTGACAGGAACACCTGGGCTAATTTTATCCATCACCATCATTCCATGATCCCTAAACACAGGCTGTGCACTGCTTAACTTGTTCATTCCAAGTTTGGACAGCTCTCTGGCCCAAATTTCCTGGGAAGTGTCCTGTTCTCCATTGAGTCTGCACTGACTCATTTGGGTGCACGCACAGCTCAGTGAAGAGCCAACAGTGGGGAGAAGTTTTGAGACAGACTTTTAGGTCTCTTGTATGAGAAGTTTTGACACTGGCACCACAGCCACAATGTTACCAGGTCAGTAATTCCACTTGGTGGAGACAGAGGAGGAAGGAGGTGAAATATCCTTGGGCTTACATTTTCACAAGTGCCTCATATCCAAGGCGACTGAGAATGAGACAGCTGGCTAAAGCACCACTGGAGGCTCTTACACTCGTCTAGGGAATACTGTAAGATTTGGCCATGAACAGGCACAAGAGTTGTTGAACTAAACACCGATCCTGTTCTCTTCTGCTGCCTGCAGAGTGTCTGGAATGTCTTATACCATGTGCAATGTCTAGTGGAGAAAACCCCCCACAGCTGAAAGTTCTTGACCTTAGCAGAACCTCCTGCAGCAGTGACCTAGTGAGTGGCATCTCCCCATGGCAGGGGGCTGGAACCACAGATCTTTAGAGTCACTTCTAACCCAACCCATTTTAGGATTCTGTGTGGAGGTATGCAATTCATGGACTTCTGACTGCACAAACTGACTTCTGCTATCATTGTCACTCCTGCTATGGTTAGACTTCTAATCTACACCAAAAGAACATCTGGGGGAGGGGAGGGAGAGTGAAGGGAAAAGCAGTATTCCCTCATGGCTCAGGAATGTGCAAAGACTACTCAGAGAGCTGTTATTTTCTGAGATTAAACTGTTGAGAGAGCAGAAAATTGGACCCTTGGAGTGGCATGTAGAAATGTTCCTTCTCACTGCAGGTCCTTTATCAACTAAAGAATTCACTCACAGGCTTGAGCTTTGGCAAAAGGACGATGCTGTGGAGTTACATCTCCTATGAAATCCCTACTCTCACACACCATTTTGTCTTTTGTTAGACCTTTTGGAAGCAGCAGCAAGAAATAATGACCCAAAAATGCAGCTGGTCACTGATAATGCTCCAAATTAGTCACAGCTGCAGTGTATATGAACTTCAGGTGAGTTAGCACTCAGACAATGCTTGTAATACAATCAGTCATGCCCAATCCATACTTTTATTTACAGACACTCCAAAAAGTTATGTCCCACAAGTCATGGTGATGAGATCCAAGCAGCTGGAAGAAGGTGGCAGCACTGGGAAAGCAGCTTGTTTGGCCAGGAATTTCAACACAAAGAACATCATCTTGGAGATGTCCTCTGAGGAGGTGGTCTATGAGCAGAACACATCCATTCTAACCTCACAAGGGCTCTATGATACCATCAAAGTGGTCAATATGACAGAGGACTCAGAGGTGACCTGCACAGCCAATTTCAACAGCAACACCATCACAGCCAATACAACATTGCCAGGTACAACTCTGTGCTAGAGCTGCTGCTTCTTCCTGGGGACAGTGTCTTCTGGTGCCTGTGTTCCCCTGCTAGTGTGCACTGCCCTGGGCAGGCAGAGAGCTGGAAAGGACATGTGGGACTCGAGCAGGGAGAGCTGAAAGGTGTTTAAAAGTTTTTAAAATAAAAGCTCTCAGCTGTTTAATAGCTTGGAGATACTTTCTGGAGGGAAGAGGGAAGACACAATCTATGTTTCTTTAAATGTGAATTTCCTTATGAGTAAATACTTCCCCAGGCAGCAGCAAAGCCCCTGGAGCAGAGCTGGCACAGCCTTTCCAAACCAACATAGTGAAAGTGCTGCTGGGTTTGGGGTTTTATCCTAAATCACTTTTATACTTTGTGGGATTGTTTTTACCATCATGAAGGTCATTCAAAGGAAAACCCAAACAACTCAGGAATTCCTTTGCTTCCTGCAACTGCTTGGAGAAATTGTCTGCTCAGTTTAATGCTGGAATTAGTGACAGGTCATCTGAGTCTCAGCCTGGACTTCTCACAGGTTCCTACAGGAAGGATCATATGGACATTTCTTTGATCCTTTGTAAAATTTGGACATAGCTTAAAATGCCTTTTCTTTGTCATGCCACAGAAAAGGAGGCCAGGAACAGAAAAGGAACAGAAAAGGAACCAGTAACAGAGATAGTTTGCAACAGCACAGACACCTCTGCACAAGGTCAGTTACTGAAATAGGCTGTGAAATTCTGTTACTGTTTGGGGGATAAATGCATGGAAATGTATTTTCTCAAGGGTAGAGGAACCAGCATGCAACATACCCACCAAACGGCACCTGCTTTTGCAAGGTTTCTGCTGCAGGAACACTCAGGCAACAGGAAGCAAAATGCAGCAGGGACAGACACTCTCCACCCTGCTCTTGCCAAGTTTTCTTTCAGCTTTCCCTTTGCTGTTGTTTCTGTCCCTGAAACTATTCCCTGTGGGTTTTTCCACTTTGTGCCATGATCACAATCCCTAGTCCATGACCTCTCCCATGCTTTCTCTCTGCCTGACCAGGCCCCGAGGTGGAGAGGGTGAACATGCTGTCAATGGCTGTGTTGGGTCTGAGAGTGCTGCTGGCCAAGAGCATTGCCTTCAACACACTCATGAGCATCAAGTTGTTCCTTTTCTGAGGTAAGGAAGCACAGAGTTGGATCTGTACAAGTACTAGAAGGACTTGCCAGGAGTGGTTGCCTGTCTGTGTGTCTCTAACCCCACAAGTGGCAATGCCTGTTCCTCTGCTCCTGATTCCATTAAAGAGCTCTTGCAGGTTTCTGGGGGTAAAAACCAACAATGATGACCAAACCCCACAGAAACTCACCCCACAAAAAATAACAGTTAATAAAAGTCAGCTCTGCCTCCCAGACACAAAGGAAACAGCACTTTTCTCTCCAAAGCTCAGTTCTTGGTGGCTGGCTCCCAAATTTTCTTTGCCAGAGCAACTCAAGTACTACCTGATTTGCCTGAGGGACTTCTCATTGACTATTTCCAGTGGCAGAGCGCAAAGCCTGGAGAACATTCCAGACAAATAAGGATTCAAACCCAGGATCCCAGTCCACAGATACTGGGAGCAAAGAGAGGAGGGAGGAGAGGTTTTTAATTAAGGTGTCCAAGGAGGCACAGAAGATCGTGCAGTGTCAGTGCACTCACTGTGTGTGTCCCTGTGTACCCTGACAGCTCTCAGACAGTGGTTTGTAGCCCCAGTTGCATTAAATGTAGTTTAAAACACCCTTTGCTCTTCCAGACCTGGAGAAGAAAGGTAACAGAATCCGAAGAGCAGCAGGAAAGAACGTGTTGGCAGCACAACAGGTGGAACAACCAGTGTCAAACCTGCAGGCAGTGACCACCCAGAATACAGCACAGCATCTTCTGCTGAAGACATTTGATACTGTTCAATCCTGTCTAGCTAGTTTGTTTAGATTTGAGAGCTGTAACTGCTTTGGCTATTTCTTTTTCTCTGTGAACTGAGGAGAGGATTTTCCCTCCTCCTCCTGTTCAGTAGCTCTCCCAGCTCCTCTGGCATTTGCATAGAAGTGTCCAACCTGCTTGGATAGTTTTGAGCAATCCAATTCTCATTATAGATATATAACCTGGAAAAAGCAGCTTTCCCAGGCATGTGGCATTGCTGCCTATAGAACTGGAATGTTAGCGCTGAGGGAGTTCAGACACAGCAGTTCCCATTTAGAGCTTTGGCTTTAGACAGATTTAATAACAATTGTAGATGAGAAGAGCAGGGTTGGAGCTGAAGTGATTCAGTTCAACCAGATAACATTCAGCCATAGCATTTTTTTATTAAACTTGTATTTCCTCTGCAAAACGTCTCATCCTAAATTTTAGGTTCTGTAGCAGTGACCAAAATAAAGGTTTCTTAGGCCAAAGTGCTGTGGTTTGTTGTGCTTTTTCTGCTGAGTTTGGGATGGAGATTTCTGAAATCCAACTGTCCCAATGACCTCTGAGATCAGCAATGCAGCTCTGGTAACCAGATTCCTTGTTGGCTGAACTTGTCTTCTCTGGACTCTTTGCAGGGAAGTGTCTCTTTGGCACATCCAAAAGCCTCAGAGAAGAGGCAACTTCTGTGAGCATGAGGAAGGGAAATGCACAGATCAGAAGAGAAGAAAACATGCTGATTTTTGCATTCAGAGGTGGGAAGAGGCCAACAGCAAATAACTTGTGGTGGTTTGATGAAGTGATAGTTTCCATAGCAACTTGGGTACTTAGCAAACAGACCAACCACACACATCCCCCACCTTATCATTCTCTCAACAGCAGCAGGCAGGATGCTGTGGGTAACATTTGTGACTCAGTTACACCATGCAAAATTAACCCCCCCTAGTTTTGAAAAACAAGTTACCCACACCCTGGAGGGGAAATCAGGCTTTTCTTTTTCTCGTACTGCCTGAGCTCCTGCTGCCTTCAAGAGAGCCTCTGCAGAGTGCCGAGCAAATTTGCTTCCAGCCTACACAGTTTCTGCTCCTGCAGAAATGTATGGGAATGCCCCAAGCAGGTTCAATATCCGAAGAGTTTCAGCCTCCCACAAGACACAAAGGATGGTTGAGCTTCAGAGCCGGAAAGGCTTTTGCAGCATGAGGATAACAGGCTCATTCCTTCAGTGTATTTGCTTTCTCAGAGCCAATGGGGATGTCACAGAGAGAGAAGTTCGGGGACAGCACTCACAGCTCTTTGTTCCCTGAGCCCCTACCCAGCTCATCTCCTTAACACAGACATGATCAGTCTGAGCCCTGCTGAAAGCCTTGGGGTTTTTCATGTGATGCCTCACAGTCTTCTAGGGCCAGAATTCCTCACTCTCAAGCCTTTAGCTGCTTATGTGCACATCACAGCAACATGGCTTGGGGGTTAGGACTTCCTTGCCAAAGCAGAGCAGGGGTGTTTGTGGCAGTTGATGCTGAACTGGGTGTGGATGTGGTGAGGTTGAGCCCAGTTGGGTGTCAGAGCTCTGGCTGTGACCATTACTACAGATGCTGTGGCCCCTGGGCAAGGCTTGTGTTTGGATCGAAGCTAAAACGATCCTCAAAGGAAACACCAACATTTCTATGGGTTTTCATTTGGGAAAAGTAATTAAAATACATGGGATGAGGTGAAAAAAATCCACCCTACTCCACCTCTTTAAATCAAATTCCCTCAGGATATTCTTTTCAATTTACCCTTTATAGCTGAGCTGGTAAACCAGACTTTGTTCACTTTCTGGACATAGAGCCCTTTGGGGATATTTTTAAGATGATAAACTGATTGTTTTCTTGGTTTTCATTTAAACAATATCAAACTGTAAGAGAAAGGTAAATATTAAATAGCTTTTTTGCAGCTAAATCCTTCTGCTGCATTATACACCATTAAAAATGCAATGCACTAATCACATTCCTACATTCTGCTGGGAACAATCTGACCTGCCTGTTCTGTTGCACCAAAGTACTACAAAGGTCTTGATAAAATTAGATCTATTGATGTGAACTGAATTTCTTTCACTGGTCTCTCCTGCTACCTGCTGGTCAGAGAGTTCATTGCTCTCATAGCATTTTCCATTGGGTGAAATCCAGTAAATAGGTCAAATAGGAAAAAACCCAACCAACCAACCAAAAACCCAACCAACCAACCAGAAACCCAACCAACCGAAACCCCACAAACCCCCCCAAACCCACAATAAGCATTGTCTCTGCACGTGCCACAAACTAAACTTCTCAGCTCTTCATTTCCTCCTTGCCTTGCTAACAGATGGAGTTGGAAACCTTAGCTATGTGACCCAGAGGCTGCAGAAAGTCAAGGGCCAGGAAGCTGAAAGGAGATGAACTGAAGTGAGAGTCAAAGGAGCTTTTTTGGAAGATCCAAACTAAGCAGGTGCATAGCTGGGATGGTTTGTAACAGAAGAGATGGAGCAGAGCTGTAAACTGGAACTTAAGAAACTTAGTGGTCAGAGTGTCCTGGGCTGGAGGAAGGATGTACTGATGGAGTTAAGGGATGACTCAAGCCCTGAAGAGCTCTGATGTCTAAATCAGGTCTTCCAAAGATGTGGATGTCTTGCTGAACAAGAAGGAAGCCTGAACCAGTTGGGAATGCTGCACAAGCTTTCTGGCTGCAGGCAAGGAAGAGGCTGATGAAGAGGAGAGAATGCAAGTGGCAAGTGCAGAGCCCTGGGATGAGAAAGCTGCCAGGCAAGTGTCTGCAGGCAGAAAAATTCCAGCTGAGGTGTCCCAGAGCTGTGTCTTGGGGAGCTCCAGGCCTCTGTGCTGAGGTATCTGTGAGAGGTTTCCCACTGGGGTGTCTCACACCAAGCTCTGCCTGTGGCCCTGACTTTGGAAACAGTGTCTGGGAATTTCATAATATGCCAGTTCTGCATAGGCTTACAGCAGTGACAGTGCTGAGGGCTGTGCTGAGACAGGTGGGACAGGGTTTGGTGGGATAGGCAGGCAGGAGGAGGGTGGGTGTTACAGGACCAGCCTGAGAGGGCACTTGCTGTGGGACTC